AGATGCCGACTGTGACCCAGGCTGGCCTCTGGCCTGTCCTGAGAGATGAGGGCAGGAGACCCAGACATAGGTGGCATTCACCTTGACCGCCCAGGACTCAGCCTCTGGATTAGTTTTAGAGGAAAGGGCCTGGATAATTAATTCTGAGATCTGAAATTGGGCGACACAGAAGGCCTGGGGATAAGGGATACATAGAAATAAATTAGTCTAGGAATTATTAATTAAAGATAAAAGTCAGCAGAACTTAAAAACATCCTGGTGTGGATTTGTTCCAGTTGAAGGAGGAAGAGATGGGGAGGGGTTAGGAGCCTGGCAGCTGGCGGAGAAAGGAAGTGGGTCTTGAGGAAAAGAACTTTTAGGCAGGGAAAATAACACCCACCTTCCAGATTAGAAAGTAGAGGCTCAGGCGGGAGTCTCATCTCCTAAATGTCAAGATGTCTGGGCCACTGTGTAGACTGCTCCGATCTCAGTCTGTGTCTGGGTGGGCCGAGGCTTGTGCCTACTCGGGTACCTTGCCAGGCAGCGAAGGGGAGGCAAGTGTTCAGAGGTGGCTCCTGCTTGCATGTGGAATGTGTTACACGGAAGGGATTGCTGCAAAAGCTTGGAGAAGAGCTGAAAAGCTTTTGCAAGAGGTTTCGGCAGAACATAAATTTGAAACATATGCTACTACTGATTGATACACTCTGTAAGCCATTGTCACTACTGCCTGGTGCTAGGCTGCAGTTCTGCCTCTGCGCTCACAGCTTCCAGCAAGGCTGTTGCTGCACCAAGTGTGGCCACCTTGTCATCATCTTGGATGGAAAACAAGTCTCCAGGCTGGTCTTCTTGATGTCTCTCTTTTCACCTGCGATCTACAAAGTAGTCCAGAAGCTCTTTAAAAAGTGTAAATCAGATTGTGTCTCTCTATCCCCTTGCTTCCTTCTAACCATTTCTGATTTCTTGCAGATAGAATAAAATCTAAGCTCTTTTTCACAGCCAAGAGGGCCTTAGGATTTGCAAGATTCATTCTTTGACCTCATCTTTGGCCAATCTCCACCTGCGTCCATGAGCCTTAATCATAGCGGCCTCCTCCTTGTTCCTGTTCTGCACCACAGCTGTTCACAGCAGCTGGCCCCTCTGCTGGGAATGCTTTTCCTTCTTGCTACTGCTGCCTGGACATCACCTCAGAGAGGCCATCTCCAGCCCTCTTATCTAATGCTGTCACCTTTGGCTCACAATATTTTTCATAGCTTTCTTTTTTTTGGTGATGAATGCATTTATCATTGTCTAAGGTTATTTTGTTTATTCATTTGGTTACATACTCCTTTCCATTTTACCACATTATAACTTTTGAAGGAGCAGGGACCTTGTCTATAAGGTATGATAAAAATATAGGGTGAATGCTTAAATTTCTTTATAATAGAAAACACATTGACATTAATCTTCCTGAAAACACACCCCTCACTTTGAAATACTTATCCCATTGTTCTTAAAACTTTCTCAAACAGTTCTTTTGTGAATGTCTTTATGAGGGGTGATAAAAAATGGTGAATTCTGCTGCCAAGTGCCATAAACACTGTCTCACAAAAACATTGTCCTATATCCTCATCCACTTTATTGACCAGATCTGGACCTGTGTGACTTCTATCTCTTCCCCAACATCAAATGACCAGGAAAGGTAAGTGATTTCAGTAGACTCAGGACATGGAGACAGCCAAGACAGGGCAACTGAAGATACTGATGAAAGAGGACTTCCGGAACTGCATCAGAAAGTGGCAAGAGTGATGGGATAAGTGTGTTCAAAGTGAAGGGTGACTATTTCGAAGAGGGATAAATGGCAATGTGATTTTACTGTAATAAACTTTAACAAAATTGCACATTGTACATTCACTGTAGTTTTCAATTTAACTTTGAGTATTGTTTCTCATGTCTTTCCAGAGCCGAAAATAGTACCTGCCACTTGGGAGATGCTCAATAAATGTTACTTGAATGAGTAAATGAATAAGTGTTATAATTAAGAGGTTTAGAAAATGAAAAAAGTTGGTTGTCCCAAGGGAAAAAGAGAATTGTCTTCAGAAAGAAGATTATAATTGAATATCCATGTCTGCAGTTTCTGCATCTGAGGATTCAATCAACTACTGGTTGAAAAAAGGAGAATGTATGTCATGGACATTTATAGACAATTTTCCTTATGAAGTCCCAAACCCCAGCCAGCCCCCAGAGAACATATACAATATAGTAAGTTAACTTTTTATATTACATTTACAGAGTATTAGGATGGTGAGTGGTTAGGATGTGGTTAGGTTGTGTGAGTGCAGGATTTCCTGGCCATCGTGTGTTGTGACTCTTGAGAGAGATGCTTATATGGTCTGAAGGCTGTTTTTAGGTATTATAGTAGAGTAGTGATGACCAAAAGTACATGGAAGAATTGTGCAGAATATATGTAAATATTATACCATTTGATAGAAGGGCTTTGAGCATCCTGGGGTTTGAGTGTGGGACCAATCCCCTAAAAAGACCAAGGGAGAACTATATTTGGTAGGCAAATCATCACAGGAAAGCAACATTTCACCAGGTGAGGAAGAGACCAAGGGCTCTGCAGTCAAGTGGAAATGGCTTAGAAAGCCACCAAGGCCTGGAATGGCCCATGGTGCTCAGGAAATGTTTGCTGCCTGATCAATAGGGCTGTAGGCTGAGGGGCTAGGAGCAGAAGGTGCAAAGAGACCATAAGGGTAGCAGGAATCATGTTGTGGAAGGTATTGAGGACATAGGTGGGAGTTTGGGCTTGGACCTGTGACCAATGGGAGGGCTACTATAAGATCCTAGGTGAGGGTGGCTGAAAAGCATAGGATATATGTCACATAGAAGAGCACAAAGAGAGGGATGAGAGAGAGCAGCCCTTATATCCCTTGGGTTTGGGGTAGAAGCAGAATAAGGTAGTTTAATAAAAAATAGCATCCTCAAAAGTGGGTAAAGAGGAAAATCAACTCCATAATGGGTGAGACTACCATCTACGTAGATTTAATGGCTCTCTTGTTAGAAGTCGCTACATCTATATGGTTGACTATGGATGTTTTGGTGGAAGCAATTTGTGTCCTTTTCCAGCAAAGGCTCTGAGGCTGTATTTCTATCTCATTTGCCATAGGACTGCTGCCATCCAGGCAGTGCTCAAGGAAGGGGAGCTTGTTCCAACATTAGGTTCTCAGAGTGAAGCCCAAAGTCCCCAGCCAGTCCACAGTAGACATGTGAGGGAGAGTTTTACCACTGTACGTCATGGTCCCTTGATGTACCTTACTGAGTCATAAGTTTGGTTAGGCTATTTCTAGCACCCATTGACTGCCATGAATTTTCTGAGGTGACTGTAATAATTCAACACTGAGCCAGACCTCTTCTATCAAGAGATAGAGTCTGTATCTCATCTCTTGAATCTGGGTCAGGCTTTGTGGCTTGCTTTAACCTGCAGAATCCAGCAGAAGTGATACTATATGACTTCTAGTCAGGTCTCCAGAGACCTTACAGCTTGAGTTTCCCCCCTTGGAACTAAGAATGCCATGCTGTGAAGATGCCTGGTATGTAAGACCACTTGATAAGAGATACATGACTGTTCTAGTCCTCTTAGCGGCCCCACCAACTAGATGCTTACGTGTGAGCTCAGACAAGACCAACACAGGAACTATGAACCAGTCCACAGAGCTGAGAAGGACACAGCCTTGTTGTTTTAAGCCAGGGCAGTCTGAGGTAGTTTGTTATGCAGCAATGAAAAGCTAGATAAGCAGCTTTGGAGATTCCCCCTTTCCATCCTGTCTGCTTCTTGTACTATGGATAACCACTAAGAAGATAACAATGTACAGTGGATTGACTATCAAAACTGTCCTACTACTCAGCTGTAAAACTATCTCATTCATATTTATTTCTCAATAAAAAATAAGTATAAAAAAAGAGATTCCCCCTTTTTTATTATAGAATGAGCATAATAGTAATGTCTGCTGCAAAGGGTTTGGATCTCACACAGGTTTTTAAAAAAGGACATTACATTTATTCATTCATTCAACCAATGTGTGCTGAGTACCTACTGCGTTTGTGTCAGGCACTGGTTCTCCTCTGAGACACAGTGATAAACAAGATAGGCAGGGACTACTCTGCTAGAGGGAAATAAAACAAACTAGATAATGTTAACTAAAGATAATTGCTATGAAGAATTGAAATGATGTAATAAGATTGACTGCATGTGTTACCTGGTTTGAGATAGCTGGGGTAGGTTTTTCTGAGTGTGTGACATTGGAACTAAGTCAGGCATATGCAGCCAATCAGGGGCAGCATGCTGGGGGGAACAATAAGGGCAAATGTCATGAGGCCCGATCAGGCATTGTTGTGACTAGGAATGTGGAGAAGGTGAGCATGGCTGAGTGTGTGACGGATAGAGATAGTGGTAGAAGATGGAGTTGGTGCAGAGCCCAATGTGGCTGAAAGTGGTAAGGCGAATGGATTTCATCCTAAATATATCAGCACCCTGGAGGGTAATAGGGTAATGATATCCTTCATGCACTGCAAAGGGAGTTATTGCTGGAAGCAGCTTATGATTGGTTAGTCAGCTGGTCATCATGGCGCTTGCACCCTTTTCCAGCTTAAAAATGTCTGGTTCTGTACTAGATTCAAAAATCTT